CCCCCCCATCGGTAGCCGCACCACCCACCTACACCTACAGGTCTCTGCTACCCCATCTCTCGTGTATTCCCACCCCGCCACCTACCTTCAGTTACTCCAGTTATATCCCCAATCCCGGCCCACTCATCCCGTATCCTCCTTCCCCACCTGTAGCCAACCCACCTAGCCCAACCCACCACCTTTCGCCCAGGTGTTCTACTCTTCTCTTGCTTCTGTCAGAATAACGGTCTTCCTTTAAAGATGAAGATATTGGTCATCCTATCGACCTAATGCCAATCGCACGTGCTGAATAGACTCATCATTTAAATAACCTTTTACGAACAGAAGAATTTTCTTAAAGTCATCAGAACGTTGTTTATTGGTGGTTTTGTTTATTCTAAACCATATATTTGCTATGAATTGACGTTGAGGGAATCTCTGATGTTTTGTATACATGTAAACGAACAATAAATGTGTACACTAGACTCAACAAAGCCTGCGATTCAAACAGCTTTAATGCCTTGTCAAGTTAACATGTTAAAGCTTTAAAATAACAAAAGGTAAAAGCACGACACATAAATGTCATCATCGATGGCAAACATTTAAAACTTGTTTATAAAATTATCTATGAAGTTTAAGTAACCCAGCCACTACTGCCTGTACATGTACACAACACAGAGGTATATATACTGCAAACTTACAATCGAAATTACTGTCACGTTTACATCTCAAATAATAAATTTCTGCTTACGAAGCGAATTCTTTGTCAATATTGAAACTACACACTGAGCACAAACTGCATGTTTGCCCAATTTTTAGTTGTTCTCGTATTTCAGACGTTGGGGCTCCCGAGTACATTGTACATTATACAGAGCTTATGTATAGAAATCAGAGGCCTGTCTCAACACAATTATGTATGTGTTAACCTCGTAAAGAAATTTTGCAATCAAACATAGTCCTGTCAGTGAACGTGTTTTTAAAAGTGTTATTGTTGACCGCACTATTAGATTTAGAAATTTATAACAGATCTAAGAGAAAGTGAATTTTACCTCCGACTTCAGTAAGGAGCTTAGTTTTGTTCCAATATCATAGTTCTCATCGTATATTTCTGTGTGTGTAGCTTCTAGATAGAAAAACGTGTTATTCCCTCGGAATATATTTAGATATAATTACGGAAAAATATCAACAAATATTTCGTTTACGTAAAGATCTCATGATCGCTAAGGCCTTATATGTAGTACATTGTAACTGTTTACTTTGATCAAATATATGTTTGTTTTTATCTGCGACAAATTCCTTAGTGTTAGCCTATTATGATTTATCCAGATTTCCTCGAATACCAAGTTGTTTAATTCATACAGACGAAGGCCATGTACGTATGCTCTCTTCCATCCTTATGGCTATCTCCGATTTAATCTAATGTTTCCAGACATTTATGATATTAATACGTCAGCTCTTTCTGTACGGTACATCTATACAAACAGGTAAGGGCGGCCGCCGTGTACAGACCGCACACCTGTTGTAGTTTTAATTAAATTTGCAAGCGAGATAACGCATTTAATGGCTATGTCTACATATTTAATTAAGATCAATTGGAAATGAAAGCTACTAATAATACTATACAATGTTACTTTAATCAACGCTGAAGTAAATAAGTGGTCAGGCGATTTCAGAAAGAAGAAACATGAACTGTTTTACCATCTTCAAACTCAAGTTTAGCATGACGAAACGAATCACTCATTACTAGATGGATCTTTAATCAGTAATGTCCAAACGTCTCCCTCTTCTAAGTAACCAGAGTAGATATTTGAGTGTACACGTAAAATGTATACTCATTACGACAATACAGCATCTGTCTTAAGCTCTAGCGTCTTAACACAGTTCATACGGAATGTTTAATCTTTTTTTATTGTTCGAGTTTATGTAAATGAAAACTGCTTCATGTCTGTATTTTTGTCGCATCTATGTATTCAAACCACATGCGAGCAATTACTTATATTCGAGTATGCGTGTCGGGCGGAAATAACTTCCGGTTAGCTAAATAGGTGACTTATATTTTTCTCACGATATTTATGGCGTTTCATTGCATAGTTTCGCACAATTAACATTTTCAAAGTGATGCACAGTTTCGTACAATTTCAAAATATTTGGTTACGTTGATGAAGTCAATACACGTTCAGAGGATTTGTAAGGTCAAGGTTCGTGTGACCTGGGAATGCAGTAGTCATCCCGACCACCTGATGTGCCATCATGTGACGCCGATTCGAAAGTCATATGAATGTCATTCTGACTCTTGCACAACAGATTTCCCCCCCGTCTCTGTGTTCTTGTTCCAACTTAACAATACACGACAAGGGTGTAATACCACACGTGTAAAACATATGAACGGAGGAACTATCACATGATACATGTAACAACGGCTCTGAATCAAAACGCATAGTAAGTTGTGTGACCTATCTTAAACATTGAAAAGGTTACTAAGTGTAATGTTCGGTCGAGATTTATATACACACCGCGCCGACAAAACGTCACATAAGCAGAAAAAGGCTAGCGCCAGAGCTAAATGGAATAACTTGATTGTAGTTAACCTGTTTAAAACTGAAGTCGATGTTTAAACAAAATGTACATGTAGGTAAACAGCTAAAACTTGTTCAAAGTGTGGTCGTTAAACATGAACCACATGCCCGTACTTTTGATAAATATTTATATACCTGTTATATAGACTGTCTATACATCACGTACAGGTGGAAATGTTCTCTCTATACAGACCTAGTGATTAATTAAACGTCTTGTCACTTGTTGCGTCTGTGATGAGGAGTACTATTATCTAACACCCCTGCCTGACTTTCATCGCTCATAAATTTCATACAAACTACTCTAGCATGCTCTTTAGTTGTATCCACAAAACTATACGACGCTATAAAGAAATTAGAATCGTAAAGATCTGAGTTAAACGTCGTTTAAAGTTTTAACCGTCCTAATAAGTTCTCAAAGTAAACGAGCCCTGCCAGAGAATTTTAATCTACAAACACAGAGTTCGGTTCACCCAAGCGTTTGTAAGTCTAGAGACCGTTCTGTAGGAGCACCACAGGCTTTTGGCGAGTCTTATAAACTTTCATCACCCAGAAATTTTGTTAACGACACATTTACTTCAATTGTGAAATTGAAGTTGTTGAATCGAAATACCTTTTTTTTTTTGCTATAAAATTGAAACCGCAACGAAAATTGCGTATTTCAAGTACGTTAATAAACATTTGCTATACATGTAAGTGGTGCTTGATAAATTATATCAGTTAGACCTACTCTTGTTATTTCGTCAGGGAATGGAAACCTGTATCTCTACTTGACATGTGTGTTGACGCCCCGCTGCTACGTATCTCCTTCATAGCCGCGAAACTGGTATATTAAGTCGGATGCTTTTTATCAGATAGTATTAACATCATACGGCGCGGATCGGGAGGAAAGACTAGGGTGAAGGAGCAGTGTAACGCTGTGATTGATCATTTTATGCTTTTCTCACACAGAAATGTACAGGAAAAGTAGCATGAATCGGACTAGGAAAGAGTTGGACGAAGCACATTTATTTACAACTTTTACTCCAGACCACCGGAGTATTGTTAACGAGACGATTGATTTATAGGGTATAAAATGTAATAACACCACCATTTATTCAGGCTGTTATAGAATTAAAAACACTGGCACATACCCAGGCGCATATAAAATATGATAACACCGCCATATTGTCAGACTGCTATGAAGTTTAAAAACAAAACCATCTTTAGCACTGTCATAGACTTAGACTGTAATGCAGTGTTCGGAATAAGATTCCTCAGTTTGGGATGAGTAACTAATGCTGAGTCAGTTTTGAATAATAAAAAAATAGTTTAAAATGTATTTAGTTCGATTTCGAAAACGTCTGTTTCCTCTGCTTGCTTTCGAACACGTCTGTTTCATTTGTCCAAAGAAACAGACGTTTCGAAAACGAGCAAAGGAAACAGACATTTTCGAACGCGAGCAAAATACGTTTGCTGAGCAGTGTTGTAATACCGTCTTGTTAATATCCGGTAGGCCTATAATAACATGTGGTATATCACCTATTGTGACTTCACTCAGAACAATGCAACTAACGGCAAAGATTCCCCAGTCTATATATTCACAAAATGTGTAACTTTTCATGTACATTCTTTCGCTTGGCTACGCTAAAAGGAATATAAAAACTTTACACTGTATAACTGTAAACATCGCTGAACCTTGTTTTAAAGGAAATTTTGAAATGGGAATTCTAATGATTAAACCGTTTGAAGTTTTATACTATATATAGATATATTGTTTATTGCCATTTTTAC